TTATAGTCCTAGTTCACCTTTAAATAACTTTTTTTTTTGTGACTACCGTTATTATCTGAAAATTAAACTCGATATAACAATATTTCAGATTTTTATCCACATTTAAAAGTTCAGTGTTATCCATTTTTACTAACGGTATTACAATTAAAGGACTAAAAACACATTTTAGAAAATTCAACAATCAAAACGAAACATTCGTAAAGTTCAAAGAGTAAAATATGTACCCTGTCAAAAAAAAAAAAATAATCAATTTTATGTGAAATGTGGGGCTTACGGAAAAAGGAGACTCTAGCAATGTCCGCCTTCCTCCTCTATTATAGGAAATAGACAAGGAACAGAGTGGTATGGCTATTACACTAGCTCACGACCATTTGGCTGAACACACACCTGATTAATCAGTCTCGAAAAAAAGATAGGACACAACCATAAGCTTTTTTTAATTCAACAGCCACCAACAAACATCCAAGAGTAACTGAGCAATAGTCATAGCTTAATTGGTTCATTTTCCCACGAACAGCAGGATATGCCATCAGGAATGCACTTCAAAACTTCTATTCATGCCGCCTGCGTCTCAGACTACCTACTACAAATCAATATCTTCCTGCAGAAAAATTCACCAAAAGGGAGTCATAGTTCCATTGCTTGAAAGAGCTGACAAGCTAGTCACATCGACAAAAGAGGCACCACTAAAAGTTATATTAAATGTTCTAATACACTGAACTAAACATTCAACGCCAAGCTAATCACCCATTACTGAGTTTATGAAAAGTGATGTTCTTTATTTGGGACTCTCGGGTGGGAATATTATGATCCTTAGCAGCGTCAACATGTAATAAGCAATTCATGATCAATGCTAGTTTCTGTAGAAGTGGCTTACCTGTTCAGAGCCTGTTTGTCCAAAAGGTGCATAGATCCTATGCTCTCCGTACGCATTCCTTTGTTCTCCTGGAGCAAATCTCTCACCTTCCCTTGCCCTGAGAAATTTTGTCCATATCCCTGGTTTTTCCTTGATCATATGTGTTTGGAGTACCCTGATAACTAGTCTTCGATCATAATTTCCACCCTGAGAAGGATCATAGTTCCTACCATATCCAGTCAAAATTACCTGGCCAGAAGGCGGATATCTTTGTTGAGAACCCTGTTGATCATAAGAGGGTTTTTAAACCCTCCCTATTTGATGGGACGGAATTTTCTCCTTGCCTGGTAAGCACCAGCCCCCAGGCCTATTCAACAGGATCTCTCTAGGTACTCCTTGTCCTGATGGTCCGAAGTTAGGCTGTGGTGCATGCTGTGTGATGAAGCAGGACCATATGGTTGCGTGGTGCTCGTGGTGAAGAAGGGCCATTATTGTGCTGCGGTGCATATTGCTGTGAAGGAGGACCCATAGCTTGTCCTTGGGGATAACTCTGTGATGCAGGACCATAATTCTGTTGAGGGGATGATTTTGTGGAGGTCCAAGTTCCTCCATCACCTTGCATGGGCCCCTGATAATTGTAAGGGCGATTCCCTGGTGGGTTTGACATCTGATCTCCTTGCTGATTATATCTAGGTTGGTTATATCTAGGTTGGTCAGAATTTCTATTCCGGTCACGTTTCCTTGATTCCTTGCATATTGTATTGGTGGAGGTCGAGGAATAATTGTTCCATTGATATACTTATCTCCTTGTTTATCAAGAAAACAATTCATTTTGGAAACATTTGTGCGTGAAAAGACTACCTTATTATTCTCACCAAGTCTAAAATATAGCCAAATAATATAACAAGCTAACTAACATTCTAAACAAATATAGCTAGCCTTAGTGAATATATCCAGACAGAACACTCCTTACCTCCATATACTCCTGTTCACTGGATCAATATAGGAATCTGGTAGCACAAAGATTACTCCAGGAAGACCTGTGAAAAAAGAATCAAATCAAAATATCACTCTTCCCTATCTTCTCACCCCACCATAAAAGATACAAGTACGAAAGCGTGACAGCTTTCAACACCAACCATAAAAACTTTTCTGACTCTTCTTCAGTCATGACAACCTGAAATCCTGTATAGGTAGTTGTGCTACAGGCATAAATCTTCTTCTTTGCCTCCTCCACACTAAACATTTATTTGAAACACAAAAAGAGAGGAGGAGATTAAAAACAGTCCTCCTAAAGGAGACGACATGATATTATCATTAGATGAGCGTATGAAACGGAATCCTGACAAATTATTAGAGAGTAATAAGCATGAAATAAAAATATAATAACTAATTTAACCAGTGAACTTTTAACCCAGAGAGAGGATAACCAATAACCAATCAATTGAGTTTTAGCATGAAAAAAAAGCAGTAAGAACGCAAGTGCTTCCAAACGCTTAGTTTGTTATTCATATTCAGTACCACCAAACAAGGGAAAGAACCCTGAAATACATAACAAAAGCACGGGAACAGTCCAATTCCTTTTAAATCAATAGTCAATAGAAGCCATTTCAGAAAATGAGTCAAGCCATGGTAAACTTGAGAGACTCCTTTATGCTCTATAGGTATTGTGCAGTATCGAAGTTAGACCGAAATGAACGACTCAATTCCTCTAGAAGAAAGGAGAGAAAAAGACACAACCAATTCTATGAAACAAGATTTTATTTACTAGGTTCGGGTGCTGCTTTCTGAGAGAGCTTAAAAACTCAGAACAGGATCAAAGCATATGTCATGAGAAGATATTCTTACATTTTTCAAGTTTCTAGTAAACATCAGGTTAACAATGCACCTACTCTTTGTAAAATTGAAAATCCCAAATCACAATGCTTTTGGATAGTCATTCGAAGCCACGAAAGAAAGCTCATCTCCCATAAAGTTATGTTACTAGTTAAGGTCATATTTGCACAACCCACAGAGGCGTCGGCGAAAGAGATAGAAACCTGATATTCAAACCCTTGGCACAAGTCTGTTCATAGGTCTCAACCATCTGGTTGAGGGGTGGGCTTGTGTCCTTGGGGAAGTCCATGACAATAAGCCAGTGATTATAATCACAACCTTCGAAAAGAATAGTATCGGGGCCGATCTCATCGGAATTATTGACGGATGGGGATCGAGCAGACAGAAGCGATATGTAAGAGGATCTGAATGCCCGGGAATGAGAGAGAAGAGCCGGGGATTGCGACGACTGTGGTGCTGATGAAATGGCATGCCGGGTAGGAAGGAATAGCGGCGCAGAGGAAGTAGAGGAGGTCGCCGAGAATGACCGGTGGAGACCGGAGAGGGTTCTAAGTACACGAGGAGGTGGAGAGAGGAAGAAGCAATGGCTGCTACACGGACCACGATGCGAGGGCTTTGGACCCCGAGGGTTTAAGCTTTAAGGAGCTTTCTAGAGAGTATGAGCGGAAGAGAGGAGAGAGAAAATGGCCATCAAGGATTTTCTCATGGTGTGTTCGGTGTGTTCGAATGAAACCAAAACGTGGTTTAAAAAAATAATTCTAGAGAATAGATTTTGGGGAGAATAGATATGTGAAGAATAGATTTGTTTAAAAAAGTGATTCTGAGAAGTGAGAGTGTTGGATAGTTGTTATCAGAAACACTTTTTATATATACAAATTACTAAAAAAAGATATAAGTTAATATGATAATTACAGAAAAAATAGATTTATGATAATTTTAATTTGAAGGAATAAAATTGTTAATAATATATTTTTACCAAATAATTAATAATACATAAGATAATATAATTAATAATAATTAATATGTATAATATTTATAAAATATAAGATTAAATATGTTTAAAAAAAAATAACAAGATACATATCCTATAGGCTCTCACACTCTCCCTTTTTTCTCCAAAAACAAAACATTTTTACTTTTTCCAAAACTATGGTTTTGACCAAAAACCATGATTTTGGTTTTTGGGTGGGTGTTGGGTGACACCCCAAACCATGGTTTGGGTCAATCCTTGCTGCCATGATTTTGGGGATTCTGAAACAATTTTAAAAAATATTTTTATGTAAATAAATTATTTTTTAGGGGAAATTACAACTTACTTTGGGTTTGACAAGAATAATATGCCCTGAAATTGTCAAAACTAAAGTAAAGTTGTCAAGGGTCCTTATCTATTGTTTGCAATTTCAATGTCTTTTTTTACAATTTTCCTTTTTTATATTTTATTTTGTATGTCATAAAATTATTTTAAAATTTCTAATTATTTTTTGAGTCACTCAGCGAATCAACTAAACTTACACCCTCTTGTCATGTGTAAAGTGAAGGTGATTACTGCAAGTTTAAAGGATATGAGACTTGGAATTGGAAGAAAAGTTCACTTAAAAGTGTTTGGATATCCTTAAAAATACTTTCTAAAAGAAGCTAGATGAGGTAGATATATGACATGTTTGTCCCACTTAAGAATAAGGTAGAGACAAAAATAAAGAAGAGATGAATTAAACTGGTCTCATTTTTGTAAAAAAAAAAATTACAAATTAAAATTCTGAAAAACATACTAGGGGAGAATTCAATCTTAGTAAAGGTCAAAATAACTTAGAAAAACTCTTGAGTTTTGAAAAAACACAATAGTTAGATAGAGTCTATTATTTTGCAATTATAATGTGTTATTTGCTTTAAAACGGATTATGTAAAGAACTTTTTTGGGGCAACGATTATTTAAAGAATTTATAATCTTATACAGTAATAAATAAAGTGTTTTTAAGGAAATGATTACTAAGCAAGAAGCAACGCTTTCGAAATTTTTGATAAAATAGTATGCATGCGAGAAATTGTGGAATAAATGTCATTAAATTTTCAACAATATCCCAAACATTGTTTAGAATTTTTTTTTTAAGATTTACATATTTATCATCATCCAGTAGAATTGAGAGAGGCAAAGAAGTAGCACCTCATAGAACTTTCAAAACTTGCATATTTATTGTCGTGTTAAACGTATGGTTTTGTTTTCTTTTTTTGGCAAACATAGTTCTGTTATCTTTCATCTTCAATATAGGGTACGATTAATAACCCCACCAATATGGGGGGAAAACAGTTAAAAATGGTCGCCCACGTTAAATATTGTCAAAAATTAAAAATACTATAGGTAATATAATTTCCGCTCATAAAGTGGCCCCTTCTTACTCTAAATTTCTCTTAAATGAGACAATTATAGCCAAAAGAGCCTCTATTAAGGAAACATAATAGGGCCTCGCTATCAAAAATGTTCATCGTAAAACGACATTGAGCTACATTAGGCGCGAATACCACTCAGGCTCCCACCAAGCCCTATTCCCCGAAAAGAAAATAGAACAGGCCAAATTCAAACAAGAAGCCGCCCAGAACGCAAAAACGAATGAACAGGGAACGAAGAGAACAGATAGGAAATATATTCAGATTTTCGTACAAAATTCATATCCGAGACTTCACCCCCCTTCGCATACTTTGAAATAGCTAAACCAAACTTACAAGGGACCAGACATGACGTTCTTCACTAGAGCAACTATATATAATTGTTGAGAAAGTAAGGAGTAAGTCTCATATTTGGCTAACTATCCAGATTATAAAAGAACAATCCCTGCATTCTAAATTACGGCTTCCAATCCAAGCTGGGAAAAAAATCTCAGGGCTTTCCCCATTACATAGAAAGAATACATCCTCATTGCACAAAACCCTGTGATTTTACAGCCACCACTGTTTCATCCCCCCGTACGTCAACCAGAGGCTTCCTCTAGAAACTCGCTATCTCCAGCAACAAAACTAGGGAAGTTCTCAGGTCTCAACTCGCAGAAAAGCCCTAATCGCACTTAATGTTTCGGTATATCCTTCTCACAAACAAATTTGAACCAAGATAACCCACAGCCCCTGCACATCATTCCAGGGAACACTTCAGGCCAGATAAAGCACAAGAACATTCTTATGAAAGGATGATTAATCAATAATACTGGATTTTAGACTTATCATCCTACCAGAGCTTGAAATGAAGCTGAAAATACATACTAAAAATTATAATAATTAACTGAACACTTACCGCAGAGAATTCCAAGTCCAAGACAAACATCAAGGTGTATCCAAAATAGAAGCTAGTTTGGAAGAAGCCTGACATCTTTGTCTTCACATAGTAGTAGTATATAGAATACAGATACACATAAACAGCAGTTGAGGCAGCAGAAAAGAAAGAAGTCCATTGCCAGTGGTAGTTCTCAGCATTTAACAGGAAGTATGTTCCCACAATCGTCACACAAACAGTAACAATAATGAGAATCAGAAACACCAGCAGCATGAAGCCATAGACATAGTACACCTGTTAGCCACAAAGGAAAGGAAGTAAAACACATATAAGCCAAGTTCAAAACATGAAACTCACAAAGCATGTATGTCTACGCTGCTTTCACTCAATAAAAATTGGTTTACTTTGAACGATTATTAGTCAGTTCAAGATTTTTTTTTTTTTTTTGAAGCAAGGAAACCAGTTTTCTCTGCTCTATTAGAGAGAAGGAACACGTTGAAAATATAGAATTCAATCCTAGCATGAGCCCTTACCCAATGTAGCTTAAACTTTTAGGATCAAATAGTATCAAAGATTCTAGACCATGCAGTTGGGATTCAATGGCTGCCCCACCCCCACCCCACCCCCACCCTTCAAAATTAAATTGAAATTTCAACAACAGGCAATGATGTGCTTAATCAGACTTCAAAGTGTGTGGGGGCATGATGGAAATAGGACCCTTTCCTAGGCCTTCATTTGATACCTTAAGCTTTTTTAGGACGAAATGGTTTTTGACAAGAAACATACGCTTTCTAACCAAAAACATAAGAAAATAACTTTGTCACCCACACAATGCATTGGGTTCTAATTCACCTTGTAATTCCAGAAGGATGTAAACACAAAATACATCTCAATGAAAATGCTGCCAAACGGTAGGAGTCCTCCCATCAGAGAAACTACAGATGGTGTGAGGTACCACTTCTTCTCAGGAATCGGACGTGGGATGGTCTTCACACGACAGGGATTATTTGGGGCACCACTCCAGTTTCTGCCAACAACTGTACCCAGAAGTGCGAGAGGGAAAGAGATGAAACCCCAAATGACAAACACAACCACCATTGTGCCGAATGGGATTGCTGCTAGAGATCCATAGAATATGGCAATCGTATTCAAGACAAACCCAATTCCAAAGCACATGAATGGGAAAAGAGATGCTGTGAGAATCATGGACTTAATCCAACTTTTACCTATATAAACAAAAGCAACCGTTAGTAGCATTCAGAGCAAAGGTCAAATTAAAGTCACTACAGCAAGCCTGAGGAGAGGTTGCAGCAATTTTTTTTTCCCCCCCCCCAAATGCTTACCCCCATGTCTTGAGTACATCCCCCCACTCACATAACCAGAAATGAACGACGTCAGGGCATAACATACAATGAAGGTTGTGACAATTGCTCCCGCCTGGGACACAAACAGCATTGAAGGATTTACACAACAAAGAAGCGCAAAAGAGAAGGTCATGGATAAATGATAGCCAATCTGACACAGCCTAGAAAAATGGATGATTATTGAGATATGCATGCAGCAAATGGCATAACATAGTTATTTAGCACATTTTGTGCACAATCACCCTATCATTGATAAAATCATAATGCAAAAAAATATAACAGGAAGTTTAAGAAGTTATATACCCAACATATAACATCCCAACAATAGCCAACAAGATGACAAGAAGAACCAGCAATGCCAGCTGAGCACCAGTCCCAACAACAGCTGAAAGAATAACTAAATTGCGAGGTGGCCGAAAAACATCACCATGCACAAGTTTCCAGCCAGATTCTTCACTAACATCTCTCTCTAGAAGTATTTTTATTAAACAAAATTGACATTCAGAAACACTCCACTTTTTCTGGGAGAAATAATTCATATATTTAATAAACAGATAATAAATCTGAAAGAATTACCAGGGTTTCCAAATCATCATCTTCTCGTGCATATTTAGCATAATCATTCCTCAAAGTTCGCATTAATATCATTGACACCAACCCAGTGAGAAAGATAACCATCATGAAAGAATTAAAAATGGAAAACCAATGTATCTGCAAAACACCAGACGAACTTAAATTCGTTTATAGACAAAGCCAAGGAAAACAGCTACAAGGATGTGAACAGTCAAAGACAATGAAATATCCAACAGAAACTGAATCCAGATGCAAAATTTGCTCCAATCTTTTTAACCCTGATGTTCAAAGAAAGGATAATCCAGGTAGACATCAAAGCGACGTCCAAAGGTGACATTGGTAGGTTCCCATTTGACAGAGTATGTCATGTCTAAATTTCTGCCCGCCTCCAGAGGCTTGGGGCTCTCTTGAGTTAGATTCACATGAATAATCTGCAAAATACAGACCCAAGTACAGCACGTCATGGCTCCCTAAACCCTTCCTGATATTAGAATCAGAATAAGAAACTAATCAAATAAGAACTGACCTGATCTTTATTGTATTTAATGACAATGTTCTTGTGTGTGTAAAGGACATGCTTGCCATTATCACTGTTCTTATCAGGATGCAGCTCCCCAACAAACCCTTAAACAAGAACATAAGTACCTTAAATTGTAGCGAAAAGAATTAAAGGGTAAATCAAACCAATAAATGGAAGATAAGGGCGGTTTTCAGCATACCCCACAAAGGTAGGTCATCTGAACTTGTGTAGATCAGGTCAAATACCAGCCACCATGTGAGATAGGGCAGTGAACAAGAAAGAGATCGAGTGTAAGTACTCAAAAAGTGAACGAGAACTTAGAACAAGAAATATTGTTTGTCCGTGTGTGTGAGAGAGGGGGAGAGTAAGGAGCAATATACAAACGAAATCTCTTCAGTGACATATTATGATAATTCCAAAGAAACACGACATTGTTGGTCATTCTAACACTAAATAAGTTATTGAAGAATTATCTAGGGCAGACTTTTGACATGACGAACTATTAGAGTCACACTTCTTTGTTTTCTGGCGATTCTAAATAGTAGACTGAATATCAGAAGGCAACAGCATGAAGGATCTCCTGTCTAGCTATTAAAATATGAAAATGAATCAGGTTACAACTTCTAGGGTTAGGTGTTTCTAATAAAGTCAATGTTAATAAATTCTCCCCATTAATAAATATACTCCCACTTTCACATAATAAAACTTCAAACCTAACTACCATCAATCTATTTCTATTTTATGTAAATAATGTCAGACTAAGTAATTTTTCTATTTCAATTCCAATTACACAAAGTTAGCGTTTCCGTAAAACCCTATCCACCATTATTCCAATAAACAGGGTGAAATGCCCATAATATTACATATTCGCAATCACTCAGAAGGCCATGCAAGATGTGCCATAATTATCTTCACTCCCTCAAGCACCAGTTCAAGTCAAGATCGTTTTACAAATCTACAGGACACTTAGAAATCAATTTTGTCTGAGTTTCAAGCACACCAAGTCACTGAATGAACACAAGCAATAACTTGAAATCATGTGAACAGTCCCAAAATACTTAAGATCCAATTGGCAGACTCTCCTAGCACCATAAAACTAGGCTTTCCAGCATCATATAGCAATCACAATTGTAAAAGTGCAGACTAATGGTAATTTGGGTTTCCAAAAACATTTTCAGTTTTCATTCTTCATTTCCATTTCTTTAAATCTATTTTCATGTGCAAGTGAAGCTACTGAAAGCTTACTTTTAGTTTTACCATTTCAAACCTTCTTTTAAGAATATTTCGCTCCAAACTCCACTAAAATATTCCACCCATGTTTCTTATTTTTCACATAAAGTGAAACAGGAAAAAAGGAAAAGACTATTAATTTCCAAGAAATCACAATGCTTTATCACATACTGCGGTATCCTTGTTTAAGTAATTATAAGCTTTCTGTACGCTTCAACTTCAAACATTTCACGACTCACTTAAAGCTTAACTGTTTTATCCGTTCTCTTAGTAACAAGAAAAAGAAACAAACAAAACGTACCCATGAAGAATTCAAACCAGTAACTATTTTCTATGGCATCCTTCAATTGTTTAACCTTTGCATCATCAAGAGCCAGCTGGCAAATAACTGTCTTTTGCACATTTCCTGAAAAAGAAGGAACGGCCATAAGTGGCGCTGCTTTGACTATGGATAACTCCATAAAATAACAAGAGAAACCTACGTACTTGTAAACTTGATGTCAATTTGGCTATTGATGAGTTCATTGCCACCCAATACCTCACCAAGACCCCCCCATTTATGTGCAGGATTATCAGATGGATGACAAAATGGAAGGCTGTAGTAGTTGTATGTTTCTTGTGGATTGTTATAAGGGCCGACTTTGTTCACCCAAAGGTTAACCGGGTCTCCTTGCTGATACTGCAATAAAATTAAGTCGAAGCTTTAAATAGAAATCTACTGATCAAGGGAAATTACAAATGAAGATAGGCATTCTACCCATGTCACTAGCTGATACTTCAACAACA